AGTATCCAATTGATACACTGGGGAAACCAAGGCACAGGCCACATATCTATGTGGCAGAGCTGGAATTTGATCCCAGGTCTCTCTCTACACCAAGGTATCTGAACCTTGGCATTACTGACATTTTGGGCCTGATGATTCTTTGTGGTGAAGGTCTGTCCTATGCATTGTAAGATGTTTAGCAATATCCCGGACACCTACCCACTATGTGCAAGTAGCACTCCCCACATCCAGCTGTGACAACCACAAATGTCTCCAGACATTGCCAAATGCCCCCTGCTTTGAGAACCACCACTCTATAAAGAAACCTATCTTAAAGAAAATTAACTCATTCTTAGTAAAAATTTCATTTGTACATTTTAATATACAAAACTGCTAAAATTATGTATGCATTTTTCAAATCCTTTCAGGTGTGTCAACAATCCATGACCCAGATAAAAGTCTGATGAAGTTTCTGCAGTTCTGTACACCAATATTACTTTAGGCCTCTCATCCTCTTCTCCCTTGGCCACTCACTACCCCCATTCCCTCTAGCTTCCCCTCAGGAAAAGAGACTAGGAAGTTCTTCTGCTACAGAACTTATAGTAATTAACATAGAAAAATAATAGAATGGCTCTACTAAATAAATTGGCAATAGATATCACAAGGCTCTATAATGACATGTAATGCCTAAATTGTCTAAGTTATTTTAATTATCTCTTACTTCTCTGTATTCTACACTACATTTTAAGTTCTCGGTAGGCAGAAACTTTGTTAATTTCACCACTGCATCCCAAGTAGATAGCCCAGTACAAATAAAAAAATGTTAGCTCTTATAATCAAGTCAATTTGTGACTACTAAAATCTAGCATGTAACCTTTTAAAGAACATTATTCTATAAATTCCTAATCACAAGTCAACACAAAACAGGGGAAAATAAATCAAATTACAACAGTTGAGGTGTTTATCTGGTAATGCCAGCCAAAAAATTTAGTGTGGATAAAAGACAAGTTGAAATATGTGTGTGTGTATATATATATACACACACACATACGTATATATGTATTGAAATGGGACTTAAACTGCTAATACTGACCTTTTCTACTTTACTGAAAAACCATTTAGCTGTAACCATAGGTTGCAAATTCAAGCATTCTGCGCTTCTACTTCTACCTAAGAATATTCTGTCCTCCCCATACCAAACTTGAATAGATGCACATCTAAGGTATAGATGTTTCAGGTCCAAATTCATTAAACACAAGAAACATGTCAATTCATGTTCAAAACTGAACATCTTCTGTGTATCACCCCCCCACACACACCTCCCGCCCTGAACCCTGTCCATAAACCCACATTCCCTATCTCAGTAAACTGCACAACCCTCTACCCTAATGCCTGCAGGTCACCCTTGCCTAGGGCCCCTTGCCAGAGACATCCAAAGTCTCCAGCCTCCCCACCTTCCACCTACAGCTTCCTTTCTCATCTCCACTCCCCCCCCACCCCCACCCTAAGCAACAGTCTGAAAGGAGAATCCCTATCTTCAGATCCCTTTCCAAAAATCCATCCTCCAAATGTTCTTTTGGAAAAGATGATCACTTATTGCTTTTCTGAAGTTTCACAGTGTAAATCTGCATGCTAAACTTCTGAGAAGTTTTACAGTGCAGAAACCTGTTTCTTTTTATTCCAGCGTCCCCTAAATAACTTGGCCACTGCCCCCTTTTTCCACAACACCTACTAATATTCTAAGGGATGCCTTTCATCACTCTGCCCTAAAGCAGGAGCCAAATCTCGGACTTGTGAAGCTACATGAAGATTCGAAGAGAATCTATATGGGAGATAGCCAGCAAGTACAATCTTAAAGCACTCTACAAGGAAGCACCTTATCACTAACTAACATCATGCAGCTGATCACAACTTTCCAAGTCCTGTTTGGCTAGCCTTGAACTCTTAACAATAACATAAAACAGCCTGCATTTCACCATGTTATTGACAGGGCTATCACTAAAGAATTTGCAAAAGGCTTTGCTGAAATCTAAATTAGTTCTGTGTAAGGTATTGTTTTCATCTACCAACTTTAAATGCACCTCTCAACAAAGTAAATAAAGGTTGGCAACTGTCAGGCACAAAAAAATAGAGGACATCTAGTATCTGCATGGCTTCCACTGGAAACATTTTTAAAGATCAGAGTTTTTAAAAACTTAGGAGTATTAAAATATTTTATGCTGAGTTCCCATTATTTTAATCAGTCTTCTCTGTAAACAAATAGATGAGGTTAGGCATTTATTTCCTATGTAGTCCAGAAAGCCCGGTTGTCTTTTTGGAAATGGCATAATAACCATGGCTTGAGCAGAATTTCAGTTAACCTGAACTTAGTAATAAATACTGAAAATACTAGTTGATGATTATACTCCTCATAGAACTTAATACCCAGCGGGTAAAGGGAAAGTTTTTGTTACTAACTAGATGACGAAGCAGGCACTTCATGTATACATATCTAGCTTATATAAAATCAGACTTGTCTCCCTTACAGCAGAAACTATAACAGAGGCTCTCTTGGGACAAAGACAAAAATTATTTTGACCCTTTAATTTTCATGCAAATGGCCTCCCCCAAAACATAAAGGAAATTTCACAGAAGTAAGGAAAAGCATTGACAAAAGTTCTACCTTAAGCCATTCATATGCTCTTAAACACTATTTTGGCAAAGGAAAAACCTGACTTAAAAATTTTTATGTTTTACAGTCTGTGTTAAATTGCGCTTTTCCATAAGGAAATAGCGGTTTTTGTTTTTTTTTTCAGGAATACTAACAAAGATTCTTGTGAATTTGTATTTTGTCTGAAAACACTTTCACTTTTAATACCCCCAAAACACAGTCCCATTTAAAACATATTTTCTATAGTTATTTCACTGTAATACGGCATCTTAAAAGACAGAACCTTAAGAATTTCACAATTTTCACTGGTTGCATCGCTGTGAAAGTTTGCTGTATGTAACTATTTTTCTGTCATACCTACTACAGAACTATTATTATGTTCTCCTCTTTTATACATGAGGTAAATGACAGAAACCTGCCCAAGGTCACCTAAGAGAGCGGGAGAACCAGTTAGAACTGAGTACACCTGATTTCTATTCACTCACCTAATTCACTGAGCCACCTGATCTTTCCAAAATCCCCAAGCCAAACTACGTCTCCCTTAAAGGAAAAAGCTCCCCCCCTTTTTTTAAAACTCCTATACTCAGGCATTTCAACGATAGTGTGCCATGAACTCAAACATAAAATTAAAACTTTACAGATGGAGAACGCTGTTATCATTACTATGTAAATACCATCAATAACAGCACCTAAAGAAATGGCCATACAAATGTTAAAAAGCAATTTAAGTGCATTAGAAATTCACCGCTTTCAAAACTTGTCTGCTATCAAAGTTTTTCTAACTTCCAGGTTATAATAAATAGTTAAAACTGAAGGTGCCATAAACCATTATGATTTAAACCCAGTCTTTTAAAATTCAGTAGGAAAAGCCATGCACCTAAATTCAGTATAGTAGGGTACGGATGACACCTAAAGAAGCTTCATCCTTTCTCCCCTGCCTTTAGAATTCCTACTGCTGCCACAGAAAGCATTAGCCTCTCTCAAGAGTTTTATAAATACTAGGGAACGGGAAATGCACTAATTTCCAGAGCCCTCTTCTTACAGGCTGCATCAGGATCTGTATCTCCTTCAACTGCCCTTATCTACTACACCTCCAGCTAAGATTTGGGTGCTTCCGCAATTGATAGAGGAAAGAAATATTATTCAAACGTCCTTTAAAAAAATTGTATAAGGAAAACGATCCGAAATTCATCCTTGGGGAAAGAGAAGGGAGGTAGACCTCCCACTGCCAAAGGCGGTTGAAAGCTGCTCGTTAGAGGGCATTTATCCAAAGTGGCCAAACTTTCCCAAAATAGTCCTCTGGCGGCCAAAGGGGGTAAAAAGTGGAAAACCAAAACAAAACAACAAGCACACAGCACCATACTGACTGTGCCTCCGGATTACGCAGCCACTTCTCCCTGCAAAGTGCACGCTCCCGCGCCGCGGCCGCAAGCCGAGTCAGGCAAGCGGCGCCCCGGGCGCTCCCCTACACACCTGCCTCGGCCGGGGTCCGTCTCTCGGCGTCTACCTGTTGCAGCGCTCGCCAACGCCACGACACCCCTGCTGCGGAGCCCCCCTAAATCCAACCACATCCAGGCCAGCGAGTGCCGCTCTCCCTGCAGTGAGAGAGCCCGAGGCAGCAACGCTCTTGCACCCAGGTGACTGCACGGGCTTCCTCCGAGCAGCCTGAAGTTGGCTTGCGTCTCCCCGGTCCAATGACACCCCGGGCGCGGAGGGGCGGAGAGGAGGGGGCAGGGCCAGGGCCAGGGCCAGAGCCAGGGCTGGCGAAGTGGGAAGGGAGAGAGGGAGAGAGGGCGGGCGAAAGCCCGGAGGGGGAGTGGGCCAGCTCCAGGGCCGGGGTGGTCACATGTCCAGATAAAGTTCAGGTTGCTATCCCGCCCCCCTGAGCCCTTCCTATTGGCCCGGAGGGAAGCAAGGCTCCACGCCGCACAGGCCAGGCGGGTTTCTCATTGGACAATCCCGGCTGTCAGTCACCAGGAGGGCGACATGACTGATACAAAGTTGCTGCGACACAGCCTAGACTCGGCAGCTCCCTTAAAGCCGCAGCCACGGCGGGAGCTTGAGGTGCCGGGCGGCAGCTACGACGCTGGGCACTAGGCACCCTCCACACGCTGCCCCCCGCCCCTCTCGCTCGACTGCCCCAAACTTGCTCGCGCCCACCTGACTCTCCTCCTGGCTGACCTCAGGCTATCTGGAAAGACGTTAAAAGTGTGGTGACGCGGAAGAAGTCGGTTTTTCCGAGATCCAGTCAAGGTGTTGGTCCCTCATGCTCTCCACCTGCAGCGCCAGGTGAGCGGCAGCCCTGGCCCAGGCACCGCCCACAGCGTCCGCGCGCAGGGGAGGACTCCTAGTGGGCTTTACCCGACCCCTAAGGTTCCTCTCCCCGCCCCTTTCCTCGGTCTTGCGAGTTACCTCTCAGCGGAGCAGCCGCAGCGTCGCTGCCAGCGAGCAAGAGGATCACGTTCCCACTCGATTTGAATTTCCTTGTTTTAACCGTGCAGGAAAAGCGGGTGATTTCAGTGCAGCCAAAGCCCTTTAAACGCAGCATCTCTCCCACCCGCCCCATCAAAAAAAAAAAAAAAAAAAAAAAAAAAAAGTGCCAGGGTCAAGAGCTGCTGCTCTCCTTTATGATTTTGTTGGTGCATTTATTAGTTTAGTATTGGGTTTTTCCACTAGCTCAATTTGAAAGCTTACCATCGAGGATATTCACTTCTTTATAATGGGTGGGAGGGGTGCACATAATTGGGAGAAACACACAGGAGGGGGAAGAAATCAGTGTTTTCTAAGGATCGAGTGTCTGCAAGAAGAAATTTCGGTTTCCCTCCAACCGCCCCCATCTCGACTCTCCTCTCGCCCACCCAAACGCTGTAGTTACTAAGCAAAAGGAAGGGCTTCTTTAACTTTGATTTCTAAGGACTTTGAGACTCCGCGTCTGAGGCTCCGTTTTGGGCTCCCGGCTGGCCCGGAGTCAGCACCAGTGACGTACACACCTAAATCTGGTCCCCCGGCCCTCGGCGACCCGCAGCCCGGTGGTGGCAGCTGTGCAGCCTCCCGCCTCACCCTTGCCTCGCACCCGCCAAAGTCGGAGGGCGGGGGGGGGGGGTCAACCTGTCTGTGCCCAAAGGCCCCTCCTCTCTTTACAGTAATTAAGCTTCGGGATTCCAGACCCCGAACCCAGGAAGACTCGAATTCGCCGCCGCTCCAGGTAGGGAACTCCCTGGCGGCGGGGGCGACTCCGGTGCTCAGCAGTCCCCTGCGCGGAGCGGCCCCCGGGACCCTGCAGCCGGGAGTCCCAGCCAAGTGTCCCAACTTTCCCGCGGGGCCCGCCGTCACGCGCGCTCTCCCGGCCAGGCAAGCAGCCTGGCATCGATCGCACCCGGCCGACCGCGGGCGGCAGGCAGGAGCGAGGGGAATCCGGAACCTAGCTAGCGCCCGGGCAGGCGAGGAGGCGGCGGCTCAGCCTGCGCTGACAAATTATTCATTATTAAGGGAATGGACGTGTCTCTTTTACTAAGTTTTTACCTCCTTTACGGAGGGTAGGTCTTGCCCTGGATCTCAGCTTCTTGTAAAATCTAGGTTAGATTTTGCAGGGACAACCGCCGCGATCGCTCGCCTGTCGCCCAGCACCCCTGCCCGGAGGCGGCCTGGCGGGCACCTGGTCTCCTGCCCACAGCCCACCTCGGTTCGCCCACCGGCGCCCTCTACGCGGACCCTGTCTTCCCCAGGGCCGCCTCTGCGCTCCCCGGGCCCCCTCCCGCCGCTGTCAGCGCAAAGTGACTGTCGCTGCACTCACCTTTTCTAGGACATGGTGGGGAAGCTGGGGCGCGGGGCGGGGGGGGTAGGGTGGGGGTGAGAGCAGCGAGACTCCCGCCGCCGCCGCCGCCGGCGCCGCCACCAGCAAGTCCAATATTAGCAGATCGGCGGTAAGGATGGAGAGGATGATAATCTCGGCAGTGGCCCTACTGACGTTGGGTAGAGCAATAGATCAGTAGTGTTGTTACCCCGCAGGAGGAGGAGAGGCGGCGGCGCCAAATCGCGCAGAAGGGGACGCGGGCGCCCGCCCGCCCCCAGCAGCGGCGGCCCGGCCTCAAGCGGGCCCCTCTCCCGGGGCTGCTGGTCTCCCGGGCGTTGACGGCGGCGGCCCTGGAAGCCGGGAAGTACGGCGGGATGATTCCACGCCTGAGCCCCGCAGCGCGGCTCTCCGCGCCCCCTCTTCGGGCCTGGGGTGGCCGGTGACAGCTCCGGCGGCGGAGCGTGTGTGTCTGTGTGTATGTGAGGGGGCGGCCGCAGGGGGAGCCCGCGGCGCCGCGGCCCCCTCCCCGGGTCACACCCTCAGCAGCGGGAGGAGGCTGCAAAGCGTCCAGCCACCGGCTGGTGGGAAATCGGGATGGGGGCGCCAATGGCTGGTTGCCCTCTCACCCTGGCCCCTGGCGGCAAGGAGGCCGAGGGAAAACGGAACCCCCAATGCACGTAACCCTCCCTCCACCACTTCCCACGTCCTCCCAAAGTCTGGGCCTGAGCTCGCGCCCCGGCCTCAGGTGCAGTCCCCAGCCGCGGGGGGCGGCACGGGTTGGGGACCACGCGCGGGGGGCGGGAGTGAAAAGTTTCTTTTCGTGCTCCCTTGCCGCCCACCCAGTGAGGCTGCTCCTCTCCACCTCTCTCGAGTTTGCGGCGCCTTTGCCCCACCCGCAACGTGGGGGGGGGGGCGCCGAGGAAGGACCGGTGGCTGCGCGGGGGGCGTGTGGGGAGATTGGGGAGGAGCGGCGGCCGCGACCGGTCCCCTAGCTCTGACAGCGGCTGAGATGCGGACGGTGGTGCCTCCGCAGAGCAAGCTGAGGAAGGGGCCCAGCGCCAGGACCCCTCCCCCCTCAGCTCGGCGAGCGCTGCGCGCCCCCGCGCCGCCCCGCGCGCCCCCGCGCCCTCGCGCCAGCCGGGGCAGACACCTACGCAGACGCGAAAGTGAAAGGGGGGCGACCGAGCCTCGAAGGCGGGCGCAAGGCGAGGGGCAGAAGATGAAGCTGTGACCCGCGATCCCGGGTTTCTCCCACTCCCTCTGCCCTGCGGAGCAGTCTGCTGCCTCCGGACTCCGGAGCCTCCCCGAAGTCCCACGTCCGCCACTCTCTGCCACACAGATCACCCCCATCAGGGGATATGTGTGTGTGTGTGTGTGTGCGCGCGCGCGCGCGGGTTCACGCTCACTCACGTGTGTGAGATATAGGTTCAGCCCCAGACTCTTCCATCGCACTGTTACAGTTACCCTTGGTGGAAAATTGGGGGGGGGGGGGCGGGGGATAGAGTCACAACCCCTTACAGGCTTCCCTGCTTGTTGTCCTTTATGATTCAGTTTTTTAAACGCCGCGAACTGACCCCCCCTACACCTCTTTCCCAGTTTAGCACTTCTTTTCCTACAGGATCTATTGACCACCACCCTAACCGCCCCCCCCCCCCCCGCACTTTTCAGGTTCTTTCCCATTTTCTTACTAAATAACTGTGAAAGTTGCTAATCTCTTCCCACACAAAACTGCGTTAAACTCGGAGCTGCCCTGTTAAAAACAATCACTGCCTTTCTTCAGCCACAGTCCCACTGTCCAAATATAAAGCTTTGGGTCCATCACCCACACAGTATTGGCACTACTCAGTTCTTAGATGGCGGAAGGTGGTATTTTGGCCTCTAATTAAACAAACTTTTGCCTCAGTTCCCTTATTTGTAGGGAATGTGAAGTTCTTAAGGTATTATATTTTAAGCGAAATCAAAATAATAAATACTATATTTTCAAAATGAACATATTAATAATTAATTACAAGTGTCCTGACTGCAAAAACTGAATCTTGAAATGCATCAAAAATAAGATGGATTGACATTGGCGGGTTGATAAAATACACAGAAGGATGGATAGATATGCGATGAAGCATGTGTATATTGAAGTACAATATTAATGGTAGAATATAGTTGGTGGGTATACAGGTGTTGGCTGTAAAATTCTTTCAACTTTTTTGTATGCTTGAAATTTTTCAAAATGAAGTGTTAGAGAAAACTCTTAGTTAAGGTAACCTATATGACGTAAATTCTGTTTACAAAATCAGTAAATTAGGTATCATTCTTTCCCCCTTTAAAAAATGATTTACCATAAACATTATTTACCTAAATACTCTACTGTGATTTTAATAATTTCCATTGCAGACAACTTGTCAAGGATCAGACTATGGTGTAAAGTAGGTTATTATAAGTGCAACATTTTAGAAATTTAGAAGATTTCTTCCTGTGCTTTTTCTTGTCCATTCTCAATTTTTTATCTTCCCTACCTGAAAAACCATTTGGTATTATAAAACTAAGATGAGTTTTAAAGCATATATAAATGTTCTTTTGAAACTTTTTCACACCAAAATAGTTGGGGGTGGGGTAGGGGGTCATATGCCCATGTATAGCAGCTTCTCTTATCCTTTGGAAGTGCTGTTTGGGGATCTTGCAATTATTAATAGGCAAATCTTTGGGGCTATCTAAGTTATTTAGCTATTTGCCCAAATGTCTGAACAATTAAGTTTCCCTCTTCTCTTTATTTTGTTCTGCTCTCTGTAAGACAAGAGGTGGTTCTGTGCCACCCTAAGGGAGAATACCTCCAGGATAATATGTGTGGCTCCCTCATCTGAAGAGAAGGTGACACTTGTTTTGCTTGGAATCATCCCACAAGTGATGCCTCTGAGAGACTCCATCAAAGATGGGGATGCAGGGTTTTCTAGTTGTTTGGAATATTCTTTGTGCCAATGCTTGTTAATAAAGAGCCCTATCACCTTAAAAAAGTGTACGCCTAGAAATGTCATTACTTGTTTTTTAAGCTGTCTCAACAAAGTTTGTTCTTTTCATCCTTTTAGATAAGTATATTTTCTCTTTGCAAGAGGATGAAAATGTGTTTTTTTTTAAAAATAAAATTAAGAAAGGAAAGGAACAGAAAAGGAACTTAATCTCCAAATAGAGACAATTTACAGCTGCCAAATACTCTTAAATCTTGAAGCAGTAGCAATAGTTATCTCCCTTTTGACAGTAGATCACCCTCCGTTCACAGTCGCTGTACCTTAGGACACCACCCTCCCTCATCCCATTAGTGTCAAACTCCCTGAGGTTTGCCACCATAAAATGCAAGACTCAGCGTTTGCAATTTACATGTGTGACATCACATCCTCTATTATATAACTTCAGATACAAAGCCTAATATCTAAGTTTGTGTTGGAAAAAATTCTCCCTTGCTCTTTATTTTAGCTTTAGCAGAGCCACCCCTTAGTTCCCTGATGCTAATTTCATTTCTTCAAACAGCTGACTCTGGGGGAAGAAAAAAGCATAGAGTTGTTTAAGCCATGAAATCATTACCCACCCCCCCAAAAAATCTTTTCGAATTTATTTTGGAATGTATTATATACCTCTCTATATCTTTACTTACCAACAAGAAAGTGAAGACCATTAGGTATAATATAATTTAATTGTATTCAATAATTTTTAGAAGTTAAAGGCTAAGCTCTTGGTCATAGTTAACTTCATTAATAAGCCTAGCCATGCTGGCATTTTTTTCTTTCTAAAAAGCTAGGCTTTCTTTTCCGCACCCCCCCCCCCCCGCCCCCTCCCCGTCTCTTACCAGCTGTTGGAAAGAGTTGAGAAAGACAGAGAGAGTCAGAATGAGAGAGGAGGGGGTATTGGAGAGAGAAGATAAATAGGGAAATAATATAAGATAGAATTTTTTCTTTGTTTATTGCAAAACACACATGTTACAGTTTATAAACATTGCAAGCAAATAAGAAATTGTGGACCAGAAGATAAATACAAAACATATCAGGGTTTTTGTTAATATCCAAAATAGACCAAACTCAATTTTCTAGACTACTTGGAATATTTTTATTAGCGTTGGTTATTCATTTCTGTATGTGTTTTCCTAACTATTTATTCATCTATCTACCTTAATTTCCTTTGTGGTCATTTTAAATAAAAATACATAAACCTAATACATTTTTATGGCCAGATTTTGCGATGACAGAGCACCCAACAGCACATGCATCACAATTAGTATGCCATATTATTAGAAGCAAATCAGATTTCACTGTGCCTACACTGATGTTCTAAATTTAGAAATAATGTACAGTAGTTGAAAAGGGGAGAGGAACTTAGAGCAGTATATTTTAATAAAAATAAAGATATTTTCAATTTCTTGCCTTTTTCTC